GACGCAAGAATGGCAGTTTTGTTGTTTATTATACAGCAAGCCTCCAGTGATTCGCATCATATTTGGTGCGTTTTGTTTAAATACAAGGAACAGTGCCGATTTAACTGTTACTGTAACGAGATACAGTAATGCAATGTATTGATCGTACTGGTAGTTGAAGATGTTTCTCGATAGTTCGCAATAAGGGGCTAGTTCCATGACTATATCATTGTTGTTCATGCATTTGTTGGATAAACTGACCGGTACTTTCTTTATCTTCCACCTTAAAAACTTTTTTCACGGGATATCGCAGTCGCCCATAGAAGTCGAAAGTCGCCATTGTTGTTCTCGGTTCGGCGTCTAACTGAGCTATAAAGGGGTGGTCAAAAACACGAAATACGGTTATATTTCTGTTCATAAACAACGTTTTGCTGCGATTTGATTTGTCCAAAGCGAAAAGGCCAAAGTCTAACCGGCGAGGTTGTATTTCCACCCTGCTGTGCGGGCGAAACGAGTGATACCATAAGAGAAAAGAAGAATGCTTGGATGACTCGGAGTGTTTGCTCAGTGCTGGCTTTCGTTCCGAATGGAAACGTGCAGGAAGGGAATATGCATGGGCAGGTAAACGACTTGTATTTTATCCTATCGAAAAAGTATATTGAAAGAACTCGGCAGCTTATCGCATGCCCTGGGGCTTATTGCTTATATAATGTCCACTTGTATCGAATTTTTGTCATGTTAGATTCCCACAAAAACTTTTTAATTATACCTCTTGGTATTTTAAATATAGTGTATTTTTTCGTATTAATATTTTAGTTGTGACGCAGCTGTGTACACGTGATCTATTAGGTAATTAGAAATATCGTATCTCGCAACCGGGGATTTACATCCGAGAGGTTCTGAGTGCATATGCCGGTCGAGTAACTCGTCTTTTTTCGTTTCGGGGTTGATGAATACTGCCACTCCGTAGTCAGGACTGTTGTACAGCTCACTATACGTTCGATTTTCCACACAGCGGATACAGACTCTGCGCTCCTAACTGATGGCATGCAACGGTTAGAGATCAGCGCCCAACCATAAACTTCATGTGAGAAGAGCGTTATCATTAAATTCTAAAAAGGCGACATTGCAACGAAATTATACTTTCCTTTACATTCCATTATTTAATATCATATCTCATAAACCTATAACAAAATGCAAAAGTTGCTAGCTTTAGGTTGCCGTTGGGATCAGTCTCAGCAGTGGATATGGATACTTTAGTATTTAAGAAACGACCTCTCGGTTTTAGCTACAAATGTAATAATCTCTATATAGCATTTTTTGCAAATACAAGTTGAGTAACCCTAGTCTGAAATTGCTTGGGACCAAGATTGTTTTGAATTTTGGAATATATGATATAGTGAAGTTGAAGAAAATTGAGAAAAGAATTCAAGTAATTGATTAAATAACTCGTAACGTCACAAAATTCCGAAACCAGCTACTAAAACTGTATAACGTTTTCTCAACCAAATTTTCTACTTGAACACACAAAACAGCTAATTCGTTTCTTTGAATAAAAATATTTATGACCCAATTAGTGATTTCTTGTTTTAAATGGCTTTCTGCCGTGAAAGAGAAGTTACAGATGTTCAAGAGAGCAGCGTAGCAGTTCCTTAGAAATCACAAGAAAGAGAAACTCACTTTGTTATTCCACAAATCGAAACGAATCGGGTTTCGTTGCAGTGCTACATCATCAGATACGGAAAGACATTTTCATATAACTTATATTTGTTGTTATGGAGGGATAGAGAAAAGGGAAGGAGGATGGGGGGGGGGTGGAAGCTGGGAACAGATGGGTCGTTTTCTTGATTAAATACAGGTATGCTTGACGTGTTTCCAGTTTTGACTCTGCAGTCAATATGAATAATGACCAGATATGACGCGCCAATGAGACGTACAGAACTACTGATATCGTTTGACAGTCCAGCCCTTTTTACGAACGGAGAGG